ATCAAGCGATGAATACGAGACGAATCGAGTGCTGGATGTACTGCGATCCATACAGCAGAAAAAAAAAACTGTTATACGGATCAATTGATGTAAATGAAGAGGTAAAGTGAACTGCGCTCGTAGAAGCAAATGGGAAATAGAATGGAAAAAAGAATAGGAAGAAATCATCAAGACCTTACCATTAGTAGAGTGAATTGTTCTGTTGACCAAAGCGTTTAGATTCTCGAGTGTGGCCGAAACAGGAACATCGTACACGGCCGATGGAATATCACCGATTCTGAAAGCCTTTTGAGACTTACAATATATTTCATCTACATAACTTTCGTTTCAAGTGTTTTCTCCTAAGACCACAGCTCAAATTTCAATATGCCTGGTAATCATTTTTGAGCCACGCATGTCAGTGGTCTACCAAGGTGGGCTGACTTATAAAGCCTGATACACATGTTTCAATCTTGCGATCTCGTCAGTCGGGCAGTTACCCTTTCTCGTCTTCTGCCAATCCTGTGTGGGTGCTGCAGTTCCCACACTAAGAGTTAGCGACGACGAACGTTTCACACTCTATGTCCAGCAAGATCGAAACACGTGTATCGGGCTCTATAAGTCAGCCCCCTTTGATAGAGCACTGACGTGCGTGGCTCAAAAATGATCACCAGGCATTTTATCTAAAACTTACATCCTTCTCATCTGGTCAAGTGTAATATAAATTACTGGACTGGCGAGAAATCTTCCAGACTTTTTCGTTTTTGCTGCTTTTTTCATGCATTTAGGCTTGTGTTTCTAGCAGCTCATAGAGCAGCTTCTTGAGGTTATTTTCATATATATAGCGCTTATGCATTTATTTTAAGTTGGAATTGTCCCCAGCGCAACGACTGTGTAGAGTTGCTTCAGGCACATGGACACTATATATCAAAATAACCCCAAAAATCTGCTCTAGACGTCAGTAAGAACAAAAATTAAATGCATGAAAAAATAAAGACGAAAAAGTTCGAAAATTTCTTGCCAATACAATATTTCACCTACAACTTATTTTCTTTTCTCCTAATAAAATCAAAAGGGTAGTAAAGGGATAGAAAGGAAAAAGCTCTTGGCATTGATAAATTCCTGAGGGACTGGCCATGAATTCGCCTGCACTTTAGCTTCGTTCGAGGTGACTGGATACACATTTGACATTCACAATGACTCACGGTGGCATCCCACTGTATCGACTCAGTGTTGTCCATCCTCCCAGGAAAGTCTGGCACTAATTTACCAACACCGGAGAAATGGATGGCTTGCCATAGTGCGGTGCAGAGCACCTCTAACCAATGCGCCACGTGCGCAAGGTAAAATTTAGGGAATGCTGTAATATAAGGCGAACTAGGATTTTCGGGTAGATTTCGAACCTACGACTGTCCAGAACGGGGAGAGGCCCTGTTATGTATCAGCGTCTTTTCGACTGTATTCGATAGACTGTCAAAGAGACAAAGAGAAACTCACCTCGTGTCCTTGCAAAAGAACGAGATTTCCACATGACGTTGATCACCAGCAGCATTCAATAGACTATCCGTTTGCTCCACCATATCCGAGTGAAAGTTGAAACTAAGAGAAAAAAAAGTTATACCGTTCGCTTCGAGTGCTTTCTTAAGACCTCGCTCGAATCTCAATATGCCTGATAATCATTTTTTGAGCCACGCGTGTCAGTGGTCTGTTTATGGTCACCATTTAGAGCCCTATCCACCTGTTTCGGCCTTGGCAGCCTCGTCAGTCGAACGGGCAGGCCCATCGTCTTTAACCAATCGTCTTGCGGACCCCTACTCTCCCCTTATAGAGGTGGGCGACGACGAACGATTTGCACCATCACCGTCAAGTGAAAAATCACTAGATTGGCAGTGTTGTACACTCGATTGTTCTTGGCTGGTATTTTTGAAGTATTATACTGTTCGTTTCGAGTGCTTTCTTAACATCTCGCTCAAATTTTAATATGCTTGATAATCATTTTTTAAGCCATGCGTGTGGACTGTTACAGAGCAACTTATACCGTCCGATACATGTGTTTCGGTTTGGCAACCTCGTCAGTAGGGCAGAGCCTTGGTCAGAGCCAACCCTCTCATGGGTGGGGGAATGAGGAGGAGGAACCTACGACTCCATACATCTTAGGAAGACACTGGAAACGAACGGTATAATATTTCAGAAATACCAGCGAAGAACAATCGAGTGTACAACATTGCCAATCTAGTGATTTTTCACTTGACGGTGATGGTGCAAATCGTTCGTCGTCGCCTCCTCTTTGTGGGGGAAAGTAGGGGTCTGCGAAACGATTGGTTAAAGACGATGGGGGGCTGCCCGACTGAAGAGGGTGCCAACGCCGAAACACTTGTATCGGGCTGTATAAGTCAGCTTATTCAACAAACAACATCCCTGATAATAATTATGAGATAAAAAAGGATAAAGCTCTCGGCGTTGATCAATCCCTGAGGGATGCGCCATGCATTCGATTTCAATTTATAACTTCGTTTGAGATGATTGAAAGCATATCTGGCCTTTACAATGACTCGCAGTGGCCTCCCGCTGGACCCGAGTCAGTGCTGCTTATCCTCCCAGGCAAGTCTGAGACTTGCCTGGTACCAATTTACCGACCCCGGAGGGATGGATGGCTTGGTGAGCCATGAGCGCGAGATCGAACCACTGACCTCGTGTATGACGCACAGCACCTCTATCCACTGTGTCACATGGGCTCTTTAATTATGAGATATATGAGAAAAATGCGTGGAAGAGCGAGGAAAACTCAAATATCTTACGAGACGAAAAAACAGGGACAAACTCTAGGCAAGACATTCGAAAATTATGGCTGCGGCACTGACTCAATGGAGCGGCACGTGACCGCGGAAGAACTCGAACTGGGACAGACCCAGTGGGACGAGAAACCCCGACACAAGCGAAAAGCTAAGGAAATTGAATAAATACGAAATGAAAAAAAATAAGGTGACCACCAAGTGGAAAAGCCGTACTTCATTGTGGCTAGAGCACAGTTTGGCCGTGAGAGCGCCATTGTTGACAACAAACCACCATCACCAGAATTCCTTTGTCATAAGGAGACAAGTGGAAATCGACCTCGTTCGCTGTCAAGGAACTTTCCGTAGGGGTGTTGGTGATCATTCGAAAGCTTGAATTTCTGGCTAAAGCTCTATGTGGTTGATTTTTCAAGAAGCCTTTTATTGCGCTGTAAAATCCGAGAGAAAATTGTGTTTCCACTCCGCCACGGGTTTTTTTCTCTTATCTCGCTTATATTTCGCTCGGACAAAACTCCTTCTCTAGAGTGCTAGTACTCTTTCGATAGCAGAAGCTTAGAAGAACTCAGAAATGTATTTAATTTCTGGAAAAGCTCTTTTGATAGCGCTTAGGAGAAAGAAAAGATTTGTGCTTTAAACCGCGCCGATTAGAGCTCTTTCTGTGGACTACTAATAATCATTCGATGTCATAAGTTCCAATGATTCCAACGCTGTGCTTATTTTCTCGAAATACCGTTTAGGAGGAGAAATCGATGGAGTTTTGCATTTTCAACGACCTTGATTACCGGCTAAATCACGAGCCGCGGCAAGGATGGGAAGGGGCGGGGCTATGGACCGTTTGAAACATTTTTGGATGATTTCCTCTAGCCAAGCGCCACTTCGACCCCTTGTAAAAACGTATCTCTTAGCCTTTTTTAATGCTCCAATAATCAACAATTTGTGGTCTATCTTGTCTTCAAAAAAGCCTCCTTTTTTTCCCCGAGAGAGCAAAAAATAGAATTTTGTTTCTCATCAAAAGATAACTCGTTAATCAAAGATTCTCCCTCGGAGTTTCACTAACCAATCGATAGACCAAGTCTTAAGGAATCCAATGATCTATTTGGTTTTTATGATGGACCTGGTATTACGCTGCAAGAGCCAAAAGAAGATTGAGTTTCGCAAAAAAAGGATCACTTGAATTATCCTCTCTTCACCTTGATCCATTGGGAGAAACGTATTTCTTGATCGTTTCTGATGTTTAAACAGTCAGTCGATAGCTTAAATCAAAAGAAACTGAATGGTGTATTTTATTTTCAAAAAGGCCTTATTATTGCGTTGAAAGAGCAAAAATAATACTTTGTTCCTCATTCAACGATTTCTCGCTGACCAGAGCCCCTCTCACATAGTTTCAAGATCCAAACGATAGACTAAATCCCAAGGATTTCAGTAAGGTTTTCGGTTTCTTCAACGGACTTCTTAGTGCTTCATAACAACCAAAAGAAAATTGGGTTTCGCACCTAATGCATTTTCTTCTGTTTTGGGAAGCCCAATCCTCTTCTGGCTGTTACAGCGTGATACGACGTCGATATTCGAAACTAAATAGATCTTTGGAATCCTTAAGATTTGATCTATCGACTCATTACTGAAATTCCGAAGGAGAAGCTTTGGTCGGCGAGAAATCTTTCAATGAGAAACAAAATTTTATTTCTACTCTCTCAGCGAAATCAGGAGGCCTTTTTGAAAATGAGATATACCATTCAAATTGCTTTGATTTAGGCTATCGAGTGATAACTCAATCGTCAACAACTGCAAAATAAGCCTTTTACAAGAGGTCGAAGTGGCGCTAAGCTGAAGGAAATGTACCACATTTTTTTCAATTGGGGATCTTTTCACTGCATCGACAGAAACTTTAGATAAAACATATGATTTTGATGCTGCGGAAAATCCACGCTGATATGCTTTTCTTGCTTCCAGCAAGTCAAACGCATAATAAAAATAAAGGCGAAAGGCGAGTGTGAAATATAGTTTTATTTTGGATCATACGGCTTTATAAAAGGGTGTCGTGTAGGATCGGTTATGAATAGATCATAGAAGTCGACGGGCTCTTTGCATGTGAGCATTGCGTCGCCTTGATCAATTGCCCATCGCTCGTGGGGGGTTTGAGTTCTCAGCGGCAACAATTTTCTTGAGCACTTATAGACAATTAATTGTCTTTCAAATGCACCTAAGAGAAGTGAGTGGTGAACCAAAATCGGCCTCAGGCGGGAATCGAACCTGCGTTTCATCCATACCGGGGACGCGTGCTACTACCACTACACCACCGTCTAAGGCGGTTTTTTGCTCACCACTCAGTTCTCTTAGGTATATATGAGACATAATAACACTGCGAAAAATGCAGCAAAAATCTTAGAAATTTCGAGTATTAGTTATTACAATGGCTGTCAGTGCAACTGGGTAAATAGAGCGAAATCGTATACCCGACTAAAGCAGTTAAAAACTGATGGCTGATAGCTAACATAGAGATGTCGAAGAATGAGTGGTGGCGCAGATGTGCCTTGGTGATGTAGTGGTAGAGCACGCTTGCCCGGATAGGATGAACCGCGGGTTCGATTCCCGCCTGAGGCCGTGCTTTTGCTCACCACTCAGTTTTCTTTGGAAAATATGAATGTTCATAAAACTGCGAAAATTAAAGTAAAAATAGTAGAAATTTCGAGTATCTTTCAAATTATAGTGTTCTTCGTCGTTCGAGTCGCTATCCGAGGACACCATCTGTGACGAGTGTATCGTTTTCCACAGTGTTATCAGCTTCGTCACAGACGTTCTCATCGTAACTGCGTGCTGAGAAGTGATCGAGCGGGATATTCTAGTTTCCATCTCCAGGCACAGGAAAACCTTATTCTAGAAACATATAATTAGGCGTATTTAATTGTCGCAGCTTCTACGTGTTAGTAGCTTTACAATAGCATGCAAAGATACTGGCACTTCTTGCATGTAATTTCCTGGAATAAGTGGAAGGAAATACTCATTGAAAGAGGTTGAGCGCATCAGGATATCTCTGATGAGTGTTGGTTCCCCAGAGTCGCCTGTACGCGGTCACTTAAATTTCATTCGGAAAGGTGAGAAATGGAAAAAAGGAAAAGCAGAAAATCGTGTGTGCGACATTCGAGGTTGGAAAGAAAGTTTCCATCGTTTGATAAAACAATCAAAATCTGTGCATATATTCAGACAGCAAACAACAACAACAACTATTCTTCAAAATACAGGCTATCATTATCCACCACTTTTTGCCGTCGGTCCGCCAGGTTTGCGATCTGATCGAAGTACCACTCTTTCGGCTCTGAAACAAAGAACTCTTGACATGTTTCTTTGACTTCTTCGAAAGATTCAAATCGGCGACCTTCCAAAAAGTGTTGCATTGATCGAAAAAGGCCGTAATCAGATGGAGCAATTTCCGGACTATGGGTTGGATGCGGTAGAATCTTAACTCGTTCAGTTCCACAAACTTTGCCTTGGTCTTTTTGGCTGTGTATGGTTTTGCGTTGTCTTGCTGAAACAAAGCGCGCTTTCGACGAGCCAATTCTGGATACATTTGTTTTTGTTCCCTAGACAATTCCATTCTGCAGTAGATATAGACCAATTATATATCAATAGATGCGCAAGAAGTAGAGCCTTTCAAATGATATGAAAATCATACACGATCCGTGCGAAAAGCGACATTCTATCCAACAATGGAAATCCTTTCAACCTAATACAATTGACAAGAAATACGGAAGCTCTTGAAATCATTGATCACGACCAGTTGTAAGCCTTGTAGTGCTCTATAACCAATGTAAATGGATAATAAAAAGCGATCACCCATTTATGGTAGATCACAAGCTCTTTTACCATTCGTAGACATGCCAACTTTTCGAGTAGACAGATAATAGAAAAATTATTGAGAGTTATCTATGAAGTAACATCATATGCAATGAGCAGCATCATATTTGCCGAACCACCCTTGTCTTGCAATTTTCAGTCACTATGATAACTTTTTTTTCGTGTTATATGGAATGAGTATATGAAAACTGAATAATTATGCCATGATATGTAATTTTCGGAATCAAACTGATAATGTCTTTGATCGTACAAGTTCTATTTCATCTACTGTATAGTATGGAAAAGAATTGTTGTTGACTCAATGAATCAGAGATAAATATGATTGAAATATGAATGAATATGGATGAGAGAACATAATAATATTTAATAACAGTGCGAAATATCACCTTAGTGAATATCTGGCTTTTCCTTGTAAATACGGGGTTCTAGGAGGACGTATCGGCATTTTTTCCTACAACTTATAGCTTTATAAGTCCCTTCTATCATATTTGACCACCTACTAGCGATGAAATTCTCTTTAGTGGCGGTAAAAAATCTAGGATTTAAGTATACTCAAAAAATTGAGTGGTAGCCAAAAATTAGGAAGTGGTAGGGTAAAAAAGGAGCAAAAATGTAAAAATTCTTGGACTTAGGTAAATACAATGGCTGTCAGCTTAACTGGGACTATAGAGCGATATTAATTATCCGACCAAACGTGATGAACGTTGATGGCTGATAGCTATGATAGAGAGATCTTGAAGAATGAGTGGTGGTTACGAGGTGGGCTTAATGGAGTAGTGGTAGTGAACACTCAGATGACGCGAGTCCAACTCCCGCTTGAGGTCAAGTTTTTAGCTACTACTCAATTCTCTTAAGTAAACTTGATCATAACTCTGCGAAAAAAAGCAGTAAAAGCATAAGGAATTCTGGAACTAAAATTCATTAGACACCTGACACTTGTTTGCGTTACGTACAGCACCAATTTTCAACGCGGTTGTCAAGATCTTTCACGTCTTAACCCCTAAGGGACGGCGTGTACCAGCTGAGGTACACGACTGTTTGGAGAACTTTCTCGCTGCTAAAAGTTTTCTAGTAGATATTTGGTAATTATTCGAAAGCTTGACTCTCAGCGATTTCCATGATCTGTTCAGTTTAGAAAAAGGTGTTTTACTACGTTGCAGGAGGAATAATATTAGTTTCACACTCAATTTTCTTCAATTGCTCGGCTGGGGCTTCGATATGGCGCTTCACCAAAGTTCCATAAATCATTAGATAGCTCGAATCTCGAGGATTTTGATGATATATCTGATTTTTCGAAAAATTATTACAGAACGTTGTAAGGGCGAAAAAAGTTCACATTTCACTCCTGAAAAGTTACCTTGCTGCTTGAACGTTATAGGCGGTTTATTAATAATTATAGGGGAAGTTTATATGTCATAGGTATCTTGTTGTTACATAAAGAACGGAATCTCAAGGATGAACCTTTCACAAAGGTTTTTTGACATGAAGAGTGATTGCTTCTCTTGAAATCCTTCATTTTCAGCGGTCATACACGTCCCTGTAAAGAAAATAAGTAAACTTCCAACCCCTATTGTGCATTTCATCGCTTATCTTGCGAGAGCGTAGCTTGTACGCACATGTTCTCCAACTAAACAATTCATATAGAGGTCTATGTGGAGGTGATTCCAATATGTAGCTCGAGTACGTGTACGAAGAGCGCGCGTTCATTATACCTTAGGACACTGTATTTCCCCTTTCAGTACCCATTTAAAAAACACATTTTTCGCTCTTTCTAGACATTTTAGTAATTATTCGATAATTTAAATCTCGAAATTTTGAAAGGTATTTTTTACTTTTGAAAGGTCCTTATACTGCACTGTAACAGTGAAATGAAAATGATTTTTAACAATCAGACATCTTTCAATGAGCGGAGCTTTTCCTCAAAAAATTCAGCAATTTTTTGATAGAACAAATTTCGACAAATTTAATAATGCTTTTGGTTTTCCAAGAAATCTCTATATTGCTGTGTAACACTGAAATTAGGATTGCCTTTTACATGCAGCGCGTATGCCTACCACCGGTGTGTGAGTGGATCTTGCAACATTGGCATCAAGTCGTCGTCTTTCAATTTCAATCCGACTGAAAATTTTTTAACGCCCTGGGAAAAGCTCTAGATGAAACGATCAACTCGGATACTAAGGATGTTCTCCGCACGTTCATATACTTTTCGTGCTTCTGGTAAATTGCATGCATGATAAAAGTGAAGGCGCGAGACGAGTGAGAAACATGATATTATATTGTATGCTACAGCGTTGTAAAGGGTCTTTTGGAAAATCGGCTATTTGGAGCTGCAGCCATAGATTCAAGCTTTCAATTAGCACTCCTATGAAAATTTTTGTTTCTTGAATGAGGTCGAATATCATTTGCCTTTGGATAACCAAAAAGAACCAACACTGTGAAAATAGGTCAATAAAATAAGAGTGTCAAGGATACTTCGAAATTTCAGTTTTCTATGGAATCATAGAAGAAACTTTGCTTTGTCGTTTTTTGTATGTCTTTGCTTTTAACTAACTGTTATTTGTATATTAAGAACACTATTTAATGGCGGCTTTTCGCATCGAATATATGTTGAATTTTGATTGAATTGGATAAACGCACTATTTTTTGCACACTATGCACATTTATTTATTTGCTTCAATTTCCTAATGCAATCTTCTCAAACTTGTCTAGTTCCCACGTTTCCAAATAATGCGGGTGCATGACATAACAACATGCACGTGGTCGCGGCGTCCCATCAGTTCATCAAAGAGCTCCTGTTACCGTCCGCCCTTTTCTGATAGGTATTATTTTGCATTCTAACAGTGTAGGCAATTTCCCTTCTATATGATAAGTCATTTCGTGGTATAATTTGAGATATTTGCAGTCACTGTATGTCAAGCGATGAAGAGGAATTTGAATGTTATATTTAACTTCCAAGAAGGCCTTCTTATTGCGCAGAAAGAGGGAAAATAATAATTTGTTCCTCATTCAAAAATTGATCGCTGACCAGAGCCTCTTTCTTGTAGTTTCATAAGTCAAACGGTAAAGCGAATTCTAAGATTTCCAATAATGTTTTTGGTTTTTTGAACGGAGTTCTAGTGCATCATAGGAAGCAAAAGAAAATTGGGTTTCGCACCCGATGCTTTTTCCTCGTTTCGCGAAGCCCAATCTTGTTTTGGCATTACAGCGTGACACGAGGTCGATATTCAAAACCAAATAGATTTTTGAAATTCTTTAGAACTTATCTATCGACTGGTTATTAGAACTCCAAAGGCAATATTTTGAGGAGCGAGAAATGTTCGAATGAAAAACAAAATACTGGAAGTGCTACGCAGAAGTCGATTAATTATATGGATTCAAGCGGTGGAAGTAAACGAGGTTACCCATGGAAAGCAGTTGAGCTGATCGGGTACTCTATAGGCAGCCGCTATCACCTACACGTTGTCATATGTAGTTATTTCCAAAGATTGGAACTCAAGAGAGGTACAGGGAATCGCCTTGAGAGGAAATTAAAAAATACGTATAGCACGTAAAATCTGTAAGCATGCAATGTCAGAGTTTATTGCAACGTAATGTTCACAGTAAAATATGAGTAGATAAATACATGCAAAAGAATAGCAATATAACGATAGAATAAAGCATTTTCTCGATTCTAGATACGACGAATAGGTTGTATAATTCTATTCAAATCTTAGCACCTAAAATTCGCTAAAACCCTAGAATTATTGAGA